CTTCCTATAAAGACCACCTCCTGGGGCTCAGCTGGTAGAGTGTGCAGATCTTGATCTCGACTCGACGTTGTAAGCCCAACACGTTGGGTGTAGAGATTACTTAAAAATAAAATCTAAAAAAAACAAAAACAACAACAAAAAAAAACCCCCTACATCTTGTAACAAATTTTTCTCAATGTTTATAAGCCAGAAGTTGTTCTTTTTCAACAGCAGACAGGTTTCCCTCATTTAAAACGAAGTGCAAACTACAGCCTATGGGCCTACGGTCGGTTCTTATAAATAAAGTTTTATTGGAACACAGTCATGCCCGTTTATTTACCTACGGGCTATGCCTGCTTTCCAGACGCAGAGGCAGAACTGACTAATGGTGACAGAACTCTGTGTCCTGAAAAGCCAAAAACATTTACTACCCAGCCCTTCACAGAAAAGTCTGCCAACCCTTGACATACGCAGACAAATATAACCTACCCAGTGTGTTGGGCTAACTAGAAAGAGCAGAATTTCATACTAAAATTTTAGTAACTCGCTCATCCTCAATGCTCTTTATTTCTGTATGCCTACAAGTTCTGATCTTCTAATTCCATTTCAACACTTTATTTAAACATAGCTGGTATTCCCTGTGTGCTTATTACATGTCAGGCCCCAAATTAAGCCCTTCAATATGTTCTCTTATGTAATTCTCACAAGGAACCCATGGGCTAGGTAACATTATCCCCTATTTACCAAGGAGAAATGAGTGAAAAAGAATGAGTGAATGAGTCACCACTTGACTTCATAGGCAGAATAGTTACTATTTCATAATTCAACCTCAGACAGTGATCGAGAGGTGACTGGAAAACTCTGGGTGCTCAATAAATACAATACGTTGCCTGTGCCATGATCAGGGGCTGCCATCAATTCAAGCAGAATTACAGGATCATAAAGTGTTATCGTTCTGCGATTCTGTTTTCCCACCTAGCTTCGGAATGAGCTGTGTAGTCCCTTCACCGTGCATCCTCTGTATTTCAGGAGGATCGCGGTGAACGAGGGCGCAGACGTGTTCCGACATGAAGCAGGGTGCAGACCCATTGCGTCCGGGGCAGAGAGACATGTTCTCTGGGAACGTGGCCAGAGCCGTGCAGCCGAAGGAGCACAAACAGCAGAGGGGACTGCCCTCCAATTTGGCCCTCTTCAGGAGGGCTGTGTTTACTTGCTGTGGTCACCTCAATATCTTTGCAAAATTGGCTTTTTTCTTTTTTTATCTCAAATATCTAAGTCTTAAGCTGTGACAGCTGCACAAACAACCAGTCTCCTGCATTGTGATCTTTTCCTAATTCAAGAGAAGGTAAATATAAAACAATTTTTTTTTTAAACTCAGCCTGTCCCTCAATAACCTACAGGCACTTTGCACACCTCCCCGCACACTGAGAACCAACGTTCCAGCAGGCGAAGGGAGGCTGAAGGCTAACGGACTGGAGAGCAGGTACCAGCTTCTCTGCTCTCTCCAGAGATAAGTGATAAGTTGGGAAGCTCTCTGGATCTCTCTGAGCCTCAGTTTCTTCATATAGAAAAGGGGCACCACACCCATCTCGCTGGATTGGAAGGTTAAGCAGGCACATTTCCAGACACTAATAAGCACCAGCCACGACACGGTCCCATGGCTGTTCATTGAGAAGCCTGGGCTCCAGACCCAGTCTGGAAAATGAGTCGCAGCCCTTCCCTCAGCCTAGCCTGTGTCGACTCCAGGGGACCTGGGCTCCCCTGTTGGTAGGTCTAGGGCAATAAGCCATCTCTAGAAACGCTGGCTTGGGGTGTCTGTGTCAGTGGGACAGCGGCACTGCACCCCGAGCCCCAGGATGACTGTATGTACTGTCCACCACCACGGGTTCCCGTGAAAATAAACAAACAGAGGGTCAGGCCTGCACTAGCAGAGTCTGGGGTAACAGAGCTCGACGAGACACAGGCTCCTCCAAGCAGATAAAGATGGACTTGTGAGATAAGGAGATGAGGCCAAGCTCATGTGCCCCACGCGGAAATGCAAGCTGTCCATGTGGCTGCAAAGGGGGATGTGGAGGGGCTGCTGCAGACGCAGGAAATAGCACCAATTCACCAACAGTGGTACCAGCACCAGGACCAGGACCAGCAGGACCGGCAGCACTGCCCATGATCTAACTGATAAGACCAAGGAACACTGGGTCTACTCTGCCCAGCAACAGCCGTTTGCACCTGTCGTCCCAGACCAAGTGTTAGCACGCAGCTTTCACTCGCAAGTGTCCAGACTTAGAAAGCAGGTGGTTTCCCCACCAGTCAGGGATATGAAGGCCCAGATTAGAGAGGTAACCTGCCCGAGATCACACCGTCCTCACCAGGGACCAAGAAGGAAGCAGAAATGGGTCCCTCAGCTCCAGGCAGGGAGGCCTCGTGGCTTTGGCTTCCAAGAGAACTGTTCAAATCCTGCCTTGTGCTCAGGGGGACCTGCTCTGCCTTTCTGCGCTCCAGCTACATCAAGAGGAAAACATCAGACTAACCGTGCTTACCCCACAGGTGTGTTCTGGCCTTAGAATGGAATAGTGTCGGCCACATGTGTGGCTTAAGAAATGGTGGTCATTTCTCTGTCACTGTCCATAGGGTGCAAGCCTGCAGGTGTGGGGCAGGGACTCAGCGGCCAGAAAGGAGGGATCCAGCAGAGTCTTATTCCTGACTAGGACCATTCTGTGTCTTCTGATGCAGAGCCCACCCTTGTCTTCCCGGGAGGAGTAGGAGATAACCCAGACCACCACAATGGGTTTGTTCTGGGGAGCAACCGATAAAAAGAGAAGCGGGGTTCTGGGTCATGTGATAAGTGGGGGCACAGCTGCCACAGCGGGAGGGACAGGGAAAAGAGCAAGGGGGTCAAGAGGCCTGGGGCAGTGCTGTGCCTTGGTGTTCCCAACTCACTCTTCCAGCGGAGGCCCTCGGGTCCCCAGGACTGACCTGATCACCCCTGCAAGCCCAGCCAAGCCTCCCCATCCTCAGAGTGCTCCCAGACCTTCACCAGCCCCCTCAGAGGAGTCCCCTCTGCGTCGTGTTTGGCCATGGTATGGTGGGCAGCACACCCATCATAGGGGGCTGCAAATCCCCACCTACCCAGGGGCACAGGCTCCTCACAGGCCATAGTCTTCCAGGGGCTGGACCGCAATCCCAGCCCCCCTTCATCCTGCCTCCTCACACAGGAGTGAGTTCTTCCTGAAAGTCTGTCTCTCCCGGAGGACAAAGAGGGTACCCAGTGCTGAGGAGCCCAGGAGCATTCCTCAGCAGGCAGTGCTACACACACACACACACGCACACACACACACACACATGCACACACACACATGTCCTTCTAAAGACCTCAAAGGAATAGCCTTTACTCTTCTGCTGAACTGGCGTGATTCAGCATAAAGCTCCTGGCTTCCTGCTCAGTGTACGTCGGGTGAGTTACGCAGCCCCACCAAACCTCCCAGCTCTCAGCTGCGCGGTGCGCACACCACTGCCCCTCAGCAGGACCACTGGCTGATGAAGTTACACAGATGCTCAAAAAGAGAGTGCTTCCCTCTGTCTGACCTCTTCAGGAACACCGAAATAAAACCACTGAGAGTCACCCTGCGATCTGATCAAGCGAGATACAATAAATAACATGCCTCCAGGGCAAGACAAACCCATTTCCTGACCTCAGAGAGGCAGCTTTCCAGGGTGGGGGAGAAAGACACGCAATCAGACAACCTGTGTAAGTGAACACCACATCACATCTAGGCGCTCTGATTTAAACCTGTGGGGAGAGACCAGAGGGACAGTGTTTCCACCAGGAGATTGGGGAAAGCCTCGCTGCAAAGTGCCACTGGGCAAGAGTGGAACTGCGAACTCAGGCAGAATCGAACCCCAGGCCCCACTTCACTGTGGTCTTGCCAGCCACCCCAGGTGGTCCCAGGTGACCTGTACCGGGACATGGGTAGTTTGAGCTGCCATTGTCCTATGGGGAGCCCAGTGCTAAGGCAACATCTCTCTGTCACCAATGTCATAGTTGCCAAGTTGGGACAGGGGTGGTGGGGGTGGGGAGCCAGTCCTTCTGCTTGCCAACTGCAGAACTGCCATGGGCCCTTGTGGCCAAGTTCAAGTCTGGCTGCTCCTTCCCTCACGCGGACACAAGGCTCCTTTCCCTTGCCTGCTATTGCCTTGCCACTTGGCCCTCCCAAGGGCTCCAGGGCCTGTGATCTGTGATCAACCTTCCATGCCAACCAGCCATACCCAGTGTGAAGGCCAGCACATCCCACCTGATTCTCGTTCACGGCCCACATAATACCCACCCACTCCAGAAGCCTCTCCCTGAGCCACAGTGACGCTGCCACGTGCAAGGGTCTGCTGTGTGCCAAACACAAGCATCTATTCTGTGATCCTTGATACCAGCCCTGCAAAGAATGATGACACATCACCTCTACTGAAGAGAGAAAGGGAGAGGCATGCAGCAGTCACCTGGCCTGAGTCACACGGCAGGTACAGGGCAGAGCACCCAACCCAGGCCTTCTGGCTCCACGGGCCGCCTGACAACTCTCAACAGTATGTTTCTCGCTCTAAGCACAGAGCCACGCACACTTTCCCTATTTATTCTCAATGTCTTCATTCACTCTCCATCATGCCTTCATGCCCTTTCTGCAGCAGGAGACACTATACTCTGTCTTCCAGACCCCCGCCTTCAAGGCACTTGTGGTCTGGTGCCCAGAGACTGGCCCATGAGCCCGGCCGTCGGGGAAGGCTGACAGGCATGACAACGCACATTAGCATGGGGAACCGGGGTGGCTGCTGGAAAGCTCCTTTCAGTTTCCTGCTGTCTCCCCACGTACCCAGCATCCAGCAGACACCAGGAGGGAGGTCAGTAACTGCCATGTCCCCCTGAGAACCGGCTCCATCACTGTGACTTCTCTCGCCCCAGCCAGGCCAGTGTCCCTGAAAGTCCAGGTGGGCACCTGACAGAACACGCAGGAGCACGAGGAGGAGACGGGCCTTACCTTTCACAGGCGCCCTCAGTGAGGCTGGTAGTGACCCAAGCCAATGCTTGTGCAGATACGGCAGAGATCCCAGGCACCACAGGAAGCCACGGTCCTCTGTCCCCCACAGGGATCTGCCAGGCATTCAGCCATGGTCTTCCTGAAAACTGCCATTAACATCCAAACGTGTGCCAGGCGTGTGTGATTCCAGACCATGCTTCCTCCGCCATCATCCTCGGGCAGCTGAATGTCACTGTAAATCCATAAGGCTCAGGAAATCCCTGAACGCAGCTTCAAGCAGCTTCAAGCACAGCCATTGTAAGGGGCAACTTTTTCATTCCTTTCTGGTCCAAAGATCAGGCCTGATGGAAGAAGAAAATCATTTGTCTGTTACAATCACGGACCCAGAGCAGCAGTCGTGTTATTCTTCCTTCCTTCTGTTTGACCCTAACCTACTTAGAAGGGAACTCACTAAAAATAATGTCCTGCAGCTCTGATACCCAAACAGAGGTGTGGCAGGAAATCAGGGAGCTTTCAGGGGAGAGTCACTTTGCACAAGCACCGAAGACCTCTCAGATCCAGAACTTTCTACAGCTTGGGGCTCCCCAGAACTACCCTGAGAGGTCTGTCTGTTATAAAGATGAGGAGAAAAGGTTCAAGAAGGGGTAAGTGGCTAGCTTAGGGAGTCAGCCTGACATGCAGCCCTGAGCTCCTCCGCAGGGCTGAGAGGTCCTGGCAGTGAGCTGAGGGGGTTTGGGGTCAGCTGGTAGGAAGTAGTTCTTCGTTTTGTTTCTTTTTAAAGACAACCACAAAGCTCTGGCATCTCTCCAGGCCTCATCCTGCACAGCGAGGGCAGGGCAGACACCCGGAGGGTGTTCCCCAGGGCAGGGCTAGGGGCTTCTTTCTGTATTCATGTCTGCAGCCATCACGGAGCACCTGCTAGGTACCTGGGACTGTTCGAGGCATGCAGGGACCCTTCTGCCTCCCTGGCGTGGCGCCCTTCAATTATTCTCCAGATTAACCGAGGAAACACATAGGTGCACGATGCAGAGGGCCTGAGGCTCAACAGTCACCAGCCACCCAAAGATAATAACAGCTGCCCCGTGTGGACGGCCTATCGCTCACCCTGCTGAAAGCTCCGGCCCACCACCTGATACAATCCCCCAACCACCCTGGGACTCCTGCCTCTATTTTCCAGATAAGGAAGCAGAGGCACAGACAGCTACCTTGCTGCTAAGAGTGGAGCCGGTGTGCCCCCCAGTCCTGTGGGACCAGTGAGGATGCCTCCCTCGAGCGACTGTAGCTAAAACTACCACCAGGCATTTCAGGAGCATAACAATCCTCATCTAATCCTCCAGCAACCTCGCAGGTTACAGACCATCCCTACCCAGTTTGAGAGATGAGAAACCGGAGGCCCACAGGGTTAAGCAAATTGCCCAAGTGACACAACTGGAAAAATCATACGTCAGGGATTGGGAGTCAGGCAGCCTGGCTCCAAAGCCCATGAGTTTGGCCATGACACCAATGGTCATCACAAGCACCTGGCTTGTTCCTGTGGTAACTTCAAACACTCAGCAGCACAGCACAACACGAATTCATCATCTTACACTTTAGGAGGTCAGAAGCCTAACATAGGTCTCATCAAGGCAAAAGCAAGGGGTGGGCAGAGCTCTTTCTTCTGGAGGCTCAGTTTCCTTGCCTTTTCCACCTTCCAGAGGTGGCTCTTGGGTACCTCCACACACGGTTCCCTTCCTCCCTCTTCAAACACGGCAACATGGCATCTCTCTGACCCTGCTTCCCCCAGTGAACCTCCTTCTCTGACTCTTCAGCTTCCCTCCTCCACTTTCAAGGACCCCTAGGATTACACCAGGCCCACACAGATGACCCAAGATAACACAGTCCCTCCTGACAGGTAAGGAACATATTCACAGGGTCCCGGGGACCAGGGTGTGGACATCTCTTGGAGGACATTATCCATAAGTGTTCTTCAGTGGCCAGGGTGGGTCACAGGGTGAGCTCCCTTGGTCCCACTGAAAACCCCCTGACATAGCTTTTAGACCCAAGAGAAAGGAAGTTTAAGTTCAAAAGGAAATTTAAGTTCAAAAGTTTAAGTATCCAAACGTTTAAGTTTAACTTATTGGATAAGTTTAAGTATCCAAACGTCAGCCTCCGTGAGAGAAATACAGGGTAGTGGTTAAAACATCAACATTTGTCGTCAAACTAAGACATCCAGTAGCTATGTTACTCAGAGAAAATGGTTGTAGCCCTTAGTTTTCTTATCTGTAAGGTGGGGAGAAATCACACCTACCTACTTCTCAGAACTAGGCGGATGGCGGGAAGTCATCATCCTAAAGCCCTCAGCGTGTGGCTGGGCACATATTAGGAGTCCAGTTAGCCATTGTTTCACGCTGTAAATGGATGAGGCCTCCTGCAAGTCAAGCATGGCCTGTCCAGGGACACCTCACGCTCCTCAGATCTGACAGCAACCAGCACCAAGAGCTGGAGGCCCACGCAGCAGCCAGGAGCGGCAGGGCACCGGCATGTTGGGCCCAGACTCCTGTGGGCCGAGAGGGGCTGCTTCCAGCAGGAGTGGGCAGTGACTTGCAGTATCAGCCCCAGTCAATGGCTAGGGGAGAGGAGGAGGGACACGGTCTGTTAAATATCGACAGAGGCCCACTGGAGTCACGTCTGTTTTGTTGGATCATATACCTTAAAGCTCTGTCATGTTGGGAAGAATTATTACACGGTCTGCTGGGTATCCCTGCAGCCAAGCAGCAGACCACCACCCCCCCACCCCACAGGAGGCTCCCCCATCTTGGGGAGCATTTTCACTTCCTCTGCTATGTTGATTCCTTTCTAGGCATTTGCTTTCCCTAACAGATTGATCAAAATAAAAAAGATGGTCAGTACCCAGGACCAGCTTCTTAGTTGGCACTGGAATTCTCACACAAGCTGTCGGACAGACGATGGGAAGAAACACCTGTGACCACGCTGGGAAACCGTTGGGCATCATCCTCTAGAACTGAACGGACATGCGCCCAGTTCCATGCCTACATGTAAGTTCACAGAAATGTGTACCTGTTCACCGAAAGGTATGTCTTGGGATGTTCACGGCAGCACCACTCATAACGACCCAACATGGCAAACTACTCAAAAGCCCATCAACAGAAAGGACTTCAGAAACACACACATGGGGGCACATGGGTGCCTTAGTCAGCTGAGCACCCAGCTCCAGGTTTTAGTTCAGGTCATGATCTCAGGGTCCTGGGACTGAGCCTCACATCAGGCTCCCCGCTCAGCAGGGAGTCTGCTTGTCTCCCTCTCCTCTCTGCTCGCTCTGTCATTCTCTCTCAAATAAATAAATAATTCTTTTTTTAAGACTTTATTTATTTGAGAGAGAGAACGAGAGAGACAGAGAAAGAGGGAGTGCACAAACAGGTGGAGGGTCCGAGGGAGAAGCAGGCTCCCCACTGAGCAGGAAGCCCGATGTGGGGCTTGATCCCAGGACCCCGGAATCATGACCTGAGCTGAAGGCAGACACCTAACGGACTGAGCCACCTACGCGCCCGAAATAAATAATCTTCAGTAAATAAATAAATTAATTAATTAATTAAAATAAAAGTAAACACATAAGCAGGTTAAACGAACCTGTGCTCTGAGAAGTCAGGACAAGGTGATCCTGAGAGAGGTGTAAGGGACAGTTAGTGACTAGAAGGTGTCAGGTGTGGTTCCTGATACGCTCGTGACCTTCCATTCACACAGGTGAAACTTTTGAACTTAAATTTCCTTTTGAACTTAAACCCACGGTTTGTGAACACTTATCAAGCCGTCCATATACTTAGGATATATGGGCTTTCTAGTGCACGTCACGCCTCAATGAAAAGTTGGTTAACGTTTTTTTAATCTGTCCTGTGAAAGTACGCTTCTGGCATGCTGCAGACTCAGGGACAATCCTCAAGGCCTGGGAATCGGCACCTGCCAGCTTTCCCTGCCCCTCCGTAGGTTCACGGCCCGCTGCCTTCCAGCTGACCCTGCCCCCAGAGGGCAGGGAGGGGAACACTCTGCAAATAAACGTGTTCTGGGCTGGTGGTGCGGAATCTGGCTTGGAACTGCCACACAAGAAAACACAGCCCCCAGCCCCATTCTCTCGGCTGAGTTTCTGTCTCCTCTGCCTCCTGGGCTGTCTGGCCCAAATAGATCATTTCATTTTTGACCCTCTCTAGTTCCACCAGCAGTGGGCATTTTGAAGAAAAACAAAGACAGGTCACCTCTATTTCCTGCCCTACACTTGAGACAGCACATTTGTACACCAGCAACCCTTAAATACAGGATACACGCAGGGACACTCTGGGAACTAGAAGATTCCTGGCGTCCCGGGTTGGTCTAGAGCAGTGAACAGGGGTTCAGGGCATGGGCTGCACAAAGCCAGGTCAGCTAGCTCCTGGCACCCACATGTGAAAGCAGCACGGTCCGCAGCGGGAGCCAGAGGGAGCATCTCCCAGGTGTGCCTGGCAGCGTGCTGTCCCTCTCTGCTGCTCCGTGGGTGTGTGCACACACGCACACTCTCTGTCTCTCACTTCTCTCTCCTCCCTCTCTGCTCTTGCAACAGCGATCAGTCCCGTTGTCCATTGCAGTGCAAGCGAGCATCAATAGATGGTGACTGCAGCAGCCGTGACGCTGGCCGCGGGGCATGGCACCAGCCATCGGGGAGGACAGAGCAGCTCCCAGGTGTGAGGGTCCGGCGGGCAAGCTCTCCCACTCCGAGTGCCCCCCACTTGCTCTCTCAGGTTCGGGAGGCAAGATTTCTTTGATTACTTGTGCCACACAAGAGGGGTCTACTCCATCTTTTTCTAATGAAGGGAGAGACCGTGATTTCCCTGGCCGTATTCACATTCTTTCTCTGTGCTGCCCCGAGAGCTGGAGCCTGCCTCACCTGGGCAGATAAATCAAGGAGCTCTGTTCCCAGAGAAAGTGGCAGCTGTCCTCCTGCTGACAGACTCTATTTTTGCTTCATTTTAGTTTCCCTACCATGTGTGCGGGGAAGACACGGATCAACTGCTTTGGAATTCCCAAGCCTTCCAGCACATGCTCCCCGTGGCACTCACCCGATTCATCAATCAGGGGATGGGGGCCGTGGGGGGATGAGGTGGGGCTTGTGCGCAAAATAAACCGGGTGTGAATCGCGATGCTGTGGTCGGTCACTGGCCGTGGGCACACCCCTTAACCTCTCTGAACGTGTTTCCTTGTCTGTTTAATAAAGATAAGGAACCGCAGCGCGTGTCCTGTGGGGTTCGCACGTGGATGAGAGACGATGCGGTACTCAGCACGCGCGCCTGCCGCCGTGGGCTCACAGCTCACACAG